ACAACGCTACACATAAAAACTGATGATGGTGGAAAAATACACCGAAACGTATTTTGATTGATAAATAGAGACAATAAATGACTGAAACCCAGGAATTACTTTGATTTGGAATTGAAACAAAATACAATTATTAATGTACTTTGGCGTACGCCCATGCGTTTATCCGGTACAAAAAAAACTGTTAACAATGTGTTGTTATTTTGCCGATCCCGATCACTTGAAACGGCTGTATATTCGTTTTAAGCCTTATAAATAAATAATTTTAATTGTTTAAACAGCCAGTCTTTATCTTTTTTAATCTCCAGACGAACAGGCAATTTTGTGCTTCAATTTCAGCCTCGTTAGTCACCTTATGGTAGAAGTTGCCCACAAAAGTTGAAATTAATCGGACGCTTTTCAGGTTACAATGAAATCATCATCGCAATGTGGTGCGCTATAAGGTTAGAAGTCGATCTTTAATGCATGAACGTTCCATGCCTTTAAACTACATTTATTTAAACAATGCGTAATGTATCGGAGCTGCCTTTTAAATTATTGCGAGCAACGCGCATAACTGATTGTTCATGTAGGTAATTTTGATGCAAAGATACCACACTTTGGCCAAGCGAAATCTACAGCGGCGATTTATCTATCTATGGAAATGCATTGTGAATGGGTATTTTTATCAGCGGAAGCTGATTTTGTCCTCTTTAATACTTGGAAATACTTAGCAAACCTGTTTGTTCTAACGATCGGAATTGGAAGTTTTGACTGTTAAGAACTGTTTTGTATTTAGTACGTTAATATTTGCGTTTTTGTCGTTTCAGATTGCAACAAATGTCCCGTTGATAGAGCCCACACTTCCAGAAAATGCCGAAACCACCCGGAGTACATCACGGGGAAAGTCCCCAAAAAGTCTACAGGTAAATACCTACCCGAATGGTCAAAGGTTGAACGGGGAAAATTCGTGTATTTATAGCGTTTCGTGATAAATACACGTGAGTGAAGGAAATATTTCCTCATTTGGAGGAGTTACGATGTTCAAATCCAGACTCTGGTATGAAAAGTGCAATTGTTTACCCGTTAAAAGGAGCCCCAAAACTGCAAATAATTAATATGTTCAAAGAACAAAGTTGAATGTAAATGGAACATGTCGAGCCGAAGCGATTCTTTAACTTTTCGAGCAAATTCCGAAAGCGATTCTTTTACAGGAAAATGATTTTGTCGACAACACCGGACATGGCGATCGTCAAAGACGAGTACAGTAAGCAGGACTACATCAAGTCGCAAAACACGCCCAACCGCCACATGATCGATCACGCTTATGTTACGCCCAGGAACCAGATGATGACCCAAACTCCTCCATCAGGTAAGTGCCCTCATCAATTTCCCAGCCCACAAGCATTCGACTTTTTTCTATATGTTTAGCGCCGGCCGTTAAGCGGAAACTCAACCTGGAAAGCCACAACTACAACAAAGTACCTCTTTTGCACAAGGAAGAATTTAAAACGCCCCAACCCAAACGGCAAAAGAAGCATTCGCGGTATGACACGTCGCTCAGTCTGCTGACGAAAAAATTCTCGCAACTGCTACAGAAAAGCCCCAATGGTGTGGTCGATCTGAATAAAGCGTCGCAAGACCTGCAGGTGCAAAAACGTCGCATTTACGACATCACTAACGTATTAGAGGGCATCGGGTTGTTAGAGAAAAAGTCGAAAAACAATATTCAGTGGAAGGGTGGTACGGACACTAGTAGTTTTTTTACGTTGAAGAAACAGCTGGAAACTCTAGAGGATCGGGAGAATCAGTTGGACCGGCAGCTGCAGATGGCCGAGCGAGAGCTGAGAAAATTGGGAAATGACAAGTGAGTAACTTTGGGTGCAAAAAAACTAGCACATAAAACTGCAAGTGAAAGCAAATTGTATATAGAAAAAGTTACAAGTAGATCAAAGACACGATTTCCATTCACTCAAATCCCCATTCAGCTTTCGATTTCCTACGCCTTAAAACTGATTTAAATAGAACCTAGCTGGCGTTTTATGGTCGGGCACTTCTCCTATCGGAACATGTGCTTTAGTTAAGTCGTCACCCACTTTTGTCGAGTCGTACCAACGAACATTACGGGCATCTATTCAAGATTAACATTTACGAATTGCGCATGCAAAGTTGCAGACGCTAACAGGAAGCTGTTACTTTTCAAATGCGGGGCCTGGTTGGGGAATACCGCAATTCAGCATATGAGGAGTTTTCTTTGAAAGTGGTGAAAGTCCATTTTGGCGAAAAAATTAGATTGATTTCAGTGTGCTGCTTGCTGCTTTTACTAACCGATTATTTTACAGATTTGGGTATGTATCATACACTGACCTCCGATCCATTCCCAAAATGAGACATAAGACTGTGATGGCGATCAAGGCGCTCCCCAACACGCAACTTTCGGTGCCCACTGGTGAGGAAACCGACAGTGAAGACCGGTATAGCATTAGAATGAAGAGCCGTGATGGACCTATTGAAGTAAGGACCTTTTTTATATTACATTATATATACTGTTGAAATTGAGTGGTGTGTCTGTTATAATCAACAGCTTGCTTAGCTGTTTTCTTACCCCTAAGCTGAAGTTGAAAGGGACTTTTCCCGCAATAAACTTGCTGTTTGTCTAATCGGAAACCCGAAATTTTCAGGTATTTTTGTGCCCAGAACCGCCTTTACCAGCCAAACAACCTCGGCCAGTGCCTCCAATGGACCCTCTTCTTAAGGATATCAATTTTAGTCCAGGGATGGGTTTGTTTGAGTTTTCCACACCACCTGTACCTCAGTTGGACAGTCCCATAGTGGCTCCCAGCCATCATAAGCCCATTTCCTCACAGGTAACATTTCACTTGTAGAACTAGTTCTACAGAAAGTTTAAGCGAACTTGCACGGGGATATTTGGTAACAAACCAGTCAATTTGGGTGCTGTTAATCACCGAACGGGCAACAAACTGTTTGAAATTCGCTTTTTCGGGGCAGTTTGAAAATGTCTCCACCTGTAAAAACTGAAAGCAGAAAACACGAGTTCAACTACTGATGGGGACCCTGCGAAACGTAAACATTACACGTCAAGCAATACTTACACACTTTTCAATGGGTTTCCATTGGTTTAAAGTCTTGCAAAAGCTGAGTAGAACTGGACAAAACAAATCACAATGATATATAATCAAAATAATTGTCAAATTTGACTAGTTAGTGTATTAATAATTTAGCCGCCAGTGGGCGTTCGGACCTTTGAACCCGCGATCTGTCACAAAAAACCTTGTCACTGTCGATTTCCGGTTGTCAACGTCAGTCGTATGAATTTGCAAACATTTTTTGCAACATTTCATCATCATCCACCAACTGTACTAAGCTCTTATTCATTATGATCGAAAATTTAGGTGTGCAGATCCTTGTCCTTTATCAAAGAAGAGTACAACGCGTCGGCGTCCGCAACCAATAGTGTAGCGGAAAATGCGATAGCGGCGCCGGCCCCTAACGGGTACCTGCAGGCTTCCACCTCCTGCCAGGGGCCGAGCAGTGGCGTGCTGCCAGCGGAAAGCCCCTTGTGCTTCCAAGGAACGCGTCCATCCACTGTGCAATTGGATCCAAAACTGGAGTCTCCCGAAGACGACCAACGGATGCCCTATCGATTCGCCGCTCTTTTTGGCGATAGTCCGTTGCCCGGATTGCGGCCTTGGTCTAGCACTAATGGTAGTTCTTTTGGTAAGTTTGTGAGGGTTGAATTCACCTTTCATGGGGGCTGGTTCTGGGCAGTGTGAGAGAACCGACACAAAACGTAATTGGGGTGATGGGGTCGTTTGAGGTTCTCGGAATTTGTAGTTTTGTCCATCCTTACCTTAAAGAGCACTTGAAATTAAGCACTCTTAGTGAAACATTTTCCTGAAGGGTCCATAAATTAATCCTTGCATCAACTAACAGACGGACTAACAGAGAGTGATTTGTGGTAATTGCGTCGTGGGACTCTATCTGTGACCTGTGTGTTTCTGAATCACATCACAGGCAGAGTTCTAGCTCCGCATTTAGCCCATTTTCTTCAGTCAAGTTTCCAATAGAAGCAGTGAAATTATGAACATTTATTGCGGCTCCTAACTACTATTGCTTGCAAATAACTCAACAGTGAATCACCCTCGTGAATCCATTGCATGTCCAGCTCCATTTATCATTGCTTAATTAATCTAAGGATTCTAAGAAATTCACATAGATGTTGGTACAACAGCAGCAGCGGCAGGTAACTGATTGTCTCTGTTTCACTGTATTTCTTTGTATTTATGTCTCGATAATTGAATGTTTGTTGGGGTAACGTGGCTTTAGGGCTTCGTTGAGCTGTATCCCGTGAGGGCTGCTCCCTTAGCCGTAGCACCATGGGATTCAGCTCAATGCAGTCCGACTAACTGCTTGGGATCTCCGCCGCTTTTGCATCTAACCCGTTAACACCATTGATCAGCCGAATTGCTTTATTATTTTTATTTAGGATTTATTACCTAAACGTGTCAACAAATGAACGAATTTTAATTTACTTTGTCGCATATTGTAGGGTTGTTTGTAACATTTTCAGTAGCATCAACGGTTGAAAAGTTATGCGCAAAAAACCGTTCTTTGCACGTTTATTTAAACAGTGTTCAACGGCCGGAAATCGCTCGCAAACTATTGTCCCAATATTCTGAGATCCTTCCGAACAACTTCCAATAATCTTAAAAAAAAAACCGATAAGCAGCGAAGAAACTGTAGATCAACAAGACAAGGAAAAGCATCAGGCAGAACATGTTCTCAAGGAAGGAACATCGAATCCATGGGGCCGACTATAACGTCAACAGAGAAAAAGGAACAACTTGATTGATCAAACAGTGGAATTTTTTTAACATTGAAACGCCCAAGCAGGGAAAATCTGCATAAAAATGGGGCAAAATCAACTCATTCAAGTAAACTATAAGAAACTATCTGTGTGTACGCGATACGTGCTTGCTCTTTAATCGGTAACATTATTGTGAAAAACCACTTTTTTAGTGCTGCTTTTAGTGAAAAGTTTAATTAAACCGTGCATTGTTTTTAGGCGTGGACCCGTTCTTCAACCTATCAGAGCCATTTGTCTCGCTGGAACCACACATGCAACCAGAGTACAATTTCAGCCTGGACAATACCGAAGGCCTGGCTGAACTTTTCGATTACGACCTCGTTAATTTCTAGAATAACAAATTTCGCCCCAGTTTTGCTCACTTTTTTCAAGTTCAGTTCGACGCCACACAACTCTTAACTGAACAAGCGCGACTTTCAAAATGAAAATGAACACAAAATTCCTTAAAGTAATTTTTAGCTTTAGTTTTGTTACACAATGGTTGGCACCAGTGCGTTAATTTGGGGGCTTAAACCGCAAGTTTAACTAAACAGTTCCAGCTTAATTGTGAGATACGAAACGGTTTTTTTTTAGTGGAAACACCGGTTTTCTTGTAGGGGTTGTCACGCCAGTAAAAGTTGTAAATAACTGTCCGCAACAAAGTTGTAATGGTTTTTTGAACGTTATCTAGTGTTTTCAGGATTTCTTTGTTCGTTTTTGGAAGAAAACCAGCCAGAATAAATCAAAAAGCATTTGTTGAAACTGTTTAAATGGTGTGCATGCGACAACCCAATATATTGTTTTGAACACCCGGACGTTTTCTAGGGTTTCTGAACAATAGCAGGACTCTTTGTTATGGACAGTAAATATCATTTTCGGGTATTGTAAGAAAACTTGTTATATATATTGAAACTCCTGAATTTCACACTTGTTGCTAAACAATTCGGACCAAAGTGCCTGTTTTTGATTTGGTCGATTTAGGAAACTAAACCACATTTACGATTAATTTATTCTTAGCGTTTTACTAGAGTGTAGTGGGACTCGCATTGATGGCGTCTGTTGTTTGCGATGTGAAACCCGAGCGGAAAACCTTAAATAATTCAGCTGAAATCGTAATTGGAAAAAGTTACTGATTTGGTTGGGCTGAAGCATGATCCTAAGGTGGCAAGGTTTCCTCTATTTTTATACCGCTTTAAACCACTCAAAGCCAGGCAATTCTCTATGGCGGCTGGTGTATTTTTTAATTTATTATGGAATATTGTTTATAGCGTCCTTTTCGCATTCAGTGCTTATAGGGGATTCTGTAGTGAAGACATCGAATGGACTGAATAAATTGAGTCTATAGAGGTTTCAACCACATTTTTCCCACCTCGTTTGTTCTTAAGCTGCTTCTTTGTCAAGGCAGTCAGCTCAGTGGGGGATTCATTTAAATCGTTTTCAATGAAAATATTTTGTCTGGATCCAAACATCGACATTGTTTAAATTCCAAATCAATTTTATTCCTGGGTTTCAGTCATTTATTGTCTCTATTTATCAATCAAAATACGTTTCGATGTATTTTTCCACCATCATCAGTTTTTATGTGTAGCGTTGTTCCTGCTTTAAGCCTTGGCATGCAAAAATGCATGAATATAAATGTGCAGAAAATGGGCGTTCTCGTCCAAAGGCGCGTTCTATTTAAAAATTCATAACTTTGAATCGAAAACAAGTGGCAACTTGAAATTTTTACAGTCCAAAGAAGACATTTGCGTCTGCACGTTCTGAAAATTTCATTCAAATCCCCCAACATTCTGATTTTTACGAACTTGGAAATGTTTGTGTAGAAAATGAGCGACCTCGTCCAAAGGCGCGTTCTCTTTAAAAATTCATAACTTCGAACCGAAAACAAGTGGCAACTTGAAATTTTTACAGTCCAAAGAAGACATTTGCGTCTGCACGTTCTGAAAATTTCATTAAAATCGCCCAACTTTCTGATTTTTACAAACTTGGAAAAAAAAGTGCAGAAAATGCGCGTTCTCTTCCAA